TTGTGGAAAGCCAATTTCTCTTCTGGCTTCTATTTTTCATCTTTCAGATAAGCGCAGGTGAGCCCTGCTTGAGACATAAGAACAAGGCACATCACTAAGAATCTTTTCAGAATGAAACCCACAGTTTGGTTATCATTATATCACCTACCAACTCTATAATTCTATAGATATCTGCCAGTGCCATCTTTTAACAAAAAGGTAAAGGAAAAGTGTTAACTTCTTTGGGTGAATTTACATTCCTTACCATGAAAATGTCCTGCTTTACATTTAGTCCCCCCACTGGACCGCTTTCAGATGAAATTCTTGCCAACTAGTCTCCATTAAAAACAATTTAGTCTTTCTGTGCTGTTTTTGTAACGAAACCTTAGATTACTCCAACAAAGTGCAGGCGTAACAGCAATCTGGGGCTGGGGTGAAAAGCACGTTCCTTTAAATCACCTGAATGACAGACAGCTTATAAAGCAAACTGCAGCAGACCTAACAGAAAAACTGATTGCATTGTTCCATTTTTCTAAAGGACCCACTGGCTTCCCCAAATCAGAAGAAAGACATACAGCATTGAGGCCTTTATTATTCCCTATATATTATTGACATTTTTATGACTAGCATTAAGAGAGTGTAAATATAATAAATGAGATTGTACTCTTAATGCTTGTTTTATAACATCTTTCATAGAATAGTTAACTCATGATGTTGGAGTTTTAGGTTTTGTTTTTTCTTTTCTACATTGTTTTAACACTGAAATAAACATAAGCTTTTCCTTCACTAAACATAATGTGTTTTCTTATCATCATTATTTACTTTAAAAGGGTAACATAGGGCAAATCACTGTATATTTATTTTATAGAGAATCCTACTTTCACAGAGAATGGTCCAAAAATCTCTCTCATTCCTTCCCGCCCTTTCATGTTCAAACTTCACATCTTAAAGTGAAGAAGGCAGCAAATGAAGAAATTGAATTTGGGTGAACAAGTCCAATGTCTGCAGTTAACTCCTGCAAATGTTCTTGGAAAGTTCAGGAGTTGGAACGAAAGCCAGTTGAAGATCAGAATAGACAATTTATAAGAATGACCTACTCATCCCAATACGTAACATAAGCAAAATGTCCATTAATAGCGTTTCAAGTGTCTCCATCATAATTAAGAAAAACGATTGGCATTTTAGTCTCCTGTCACATCTTCCACCCTGGCCTACATCAGAACTTTTACCTGTTTTATCGAGATAACTCAAGATTAACAGACAAAGAACCCACTTCTTGTCAGGATTGTTTTTAGCGGAGTTCAACTCAAAATTACTTTTGGTATCACCTTCACAAGGAAACATGGTCAGTGGTGTGCTGCCAAACTGTTACAACGGGTTTTTAATTCATGCCACTAATAAGTAGAAGTTTATAGCATCCAAACGCATTTTACAGCCTTTCAAGGTGCCTGCCATTCATGACGATACAGAACAAATCAGGTCCACCTGATCTCGGCCCCAACCCTTCTGCACCAGCACACCTTCTGCACTTTTAATGCAGAAAACCTGCGGGACGCAAATTGTCCAAGACTCAGAGTTTCATAAACGTGGCCAGCGCCACAGGTAGGAAAACAGGTGAGGATAAGCACAGGTGTAACTGGAGAACTCTGAACATGAGCCCACCACCTTTAATCTTGCTTCATGTCTTTCAAAATATGAGGTGTTTGCTGTCTATAGAAATTCCCTTGAAAATACAAAACCTTTGGAAGAGATTACACACTGCATTAGCAAAGCCAAATTTTGTTTAGTTCACCATTTTTGTTAGGGACACCTTCCAGAAAAAGCAGTTGTCATAGGGCTCTATTCTATTAAACAAATTACGTTGACTGGTACATTCATGAACTTACATACAGTTATGTGGATTTGTTCTGAAGTTTTATTTTGCTTGATCAACCCTTAGAAAACAGTATGTGCATTATGATTCAAAGTTTGTTTTAAAAAGGCACATATATGCCTAGGAAAAATTCTAGAAGAATATAGACTCAGAAATAAACAGTATTTATTTCCAGAGGTTAGGATTACATTTTTAAAAGGTGGTTCTCCTTATCCTTCATTATATTTTTCCAAATAATCATCAACAAGTATGTATTATACTAATGATAAGCAAATCAATTCAATTTTTCTAAAAATAAAGATAATTCTGACCAGAGAGCGCTTTTGAAAGCTTTTGAGAGGAGAAAAATGGCTTGGATTCTTTTAAGAACAACCACATCCGAAGCTGGATATATGCGCTGGAGTCTCTGTGGTTATGAAATTTTTGACAAATACCCACACAAGATGAGTTTCTTTTGCCACTTTCCAACTTATTTTCTACCAACTAAGAATTTGGGTTTAATAACAATGCACTGGAATTATGCCTTATGAAAAAAACTATTATTTTAGATATGTTAATTTCCAAGCTTTCTAGGACTATGATGCAATGCCTTATTATCACCAGGTGAATGGGGGGAGGATGGGAATCTACAACAAGGCAGTGTATTTATATTTATATTTATATTTATATTTATATTTATATTTAATTGTTTAGCTCAAACTGTCTATACCCTAATAAGCAACTTAACTTTCAGTGACTTACCTCTATGAGATTATAGTAATGGACCTTTTAAACTGTTTAAATGGATCATCCATAAAATGTAATTATAATTACATGTAATGTGATTATTATTACATGTAACAAATTAGAATTATAATTTTGTTTGTGACAATTTGAGTGAACAATAAATACGGTATGTTATTACCTCATTAGGACTATTATTTTCTACACCATAGGTGGGCAAGCCTTGTTTACCACCTGTTTGGTTACAGCTTATGAGCTAACAATGGTTTTCACATTTTTTGTTTTGTTTTGCTTTTATATTTTTGAGTGGCTGGAAAAAATCAAAAGAAAAATAATATTTCATGAAATGTGAAAATAATATGAAATTCAAACTTCAGTGTCCACAAAGTTTTACTGGAAGAGGACAGCACCATTCTTTTAAGTCTGCCCATGACTGCTTTTGCTAATTACGATGGCTTCTGAAAAGAATTGTGACAAAGTCTAAAATATGTATTAGCTGATCCTTGATACAAAAAGTGTTTTCAAGGTGGTTCTGAATATTATCTGTATTTCCCATCATCAGTCTCCAGATGGCAGAAAAGAGCCTTAAACTGGGGGGAAGGGGAATTATTGGCATGTAGAAGATATTTACATTCCCAATTAAATCACCCCGTGAAAGTCAGCCCTTCCAACAGTGCAAAACATTTTTTCTATGCATGTTCAATAAACCAAAAATTAAACGTCTAAAAGAAACCAAAGGATTCATTTAGTCTAGAACTACTGTCTGTACTGAAATTTAGCATTTATTCACTCCTGCCTAAAATAAATAAATATTACATAAATCTGCACCATTAAAGAGGCTTCTCAGTTATAACCAACACATGAAATTGTAATATATTTAAAGTGTACAATGTGATCATTTGATATATGTGTACATTGTGAAATGATTAGTTCAATCAAGTTAATTAACATACCAATGAACTCACATCATCCCCTCCGCCTTTTTTTTGGTGAAACTGCTTAAGATCTATTCTCTTAGCAAATTTCAAGTATACAATATAGATACTATTAGCTATAGTGGGCCTGCTACACATTAGATCTTCATAATTTATTCACATCCTAAGTAAGTTTGTATCCTTTTACCAGCCTGTCTCCCTTCCTCCCCACATGTCACCCCCAGCAACCACTTCCCTACTCTGCTTCTATGGGTTGACTCTTTTAAGATTCCATATACAAGTGGACAAGTCTGTCTGACTTATTTCACTAGCATAATGCCCCCAAATTTCATCACGTTGTCATGAGTGGCAAGATTTCCTTCTTTTTTAAGGCTGAATGATATTTCATTGTGTTTAGATACAGATATATGTATGTATGTACATATACACTGCATCTTTTTTTATCCATTCATCTGTCAACGGGCACTTAGCTTGTTTCCATATTGTGTTTCTTCAGTTTTGATGTGTCTATAACTTTCTTCTCTCTATAGACTGAATTATACTTGTTAAACCTCCAGATTATGCCAACTGGGTTTAGAATTAGTTAGGTTGTACGTGTGTTGAGTACTAACTTGTTTTAGTGGTTTTAGAACTTGAATTTTTTTCTAGCATTGTGTAGACATAGCTACAAACTAGACAGATTTTATGCATGAATCAATAAAAGCAAGGTGAGGGGGGGCCACACACACATTGCTGCTTCATATTTACTATCCCATGAAAACCAGGTAAGGATCCCTTGAAAGAATGATGCAAATCTATATCATCAGGATGATAATATTACTTATGTTCTTTTAAATTGCAGGTTTCTCATTTCTCAACAAGTGGACAAAAAGCACCTACACCACTTCCCAGACACATCAGAGGCAAGGAAACTGGCACCGCTTTCATCCCCCTCACATTCTCTCCCGCCATTTCTGTTCCCCTTTATTTTTTCCATAACTTCCGGTTATAAACTTTTCCACAGAGACAAAAACTTAAAACAGGACAATGGATAACCCAATGCCAATCATACATTTTCTTGTATGCCCACACAACAATCATGCACTTGAGAATTAACAATGATTCTATACAATCAGCTAATAACCAATGAATGTTGAAACTTCCCCCATTTAACCTCAAAATGTCTTTTAGAGATTTATGGTTGAACCAGGATGTAATCTAGAATTGGGCTTCACATCTGTTTGCTGGGTTTCCCCAGTTCTCCTTTAAACTGGAACTGTCCCTCCCCTCACTGCCTCTACACACACTTCTTTTTGTGATGCTGAGTTTTCTAGAGATCGGATCATTTGCCCTGTAGAATCCATATTTCGTATTTCTCTGATTGTTTTCCTGTGGAGTCATTATTTTTCTATCCTTTATAAATTACTGTAATCAGGGGTTAGGTCTAAAAGTTTAACAATATGATGCTGTATACTTCATATTACATCACATCACAAGTGTGAAATGTTGAGCTATCCCACTTTGGGTAGTACTAGTTTGATCAACTGGTTGCAGTGTTGATCACCATTACAAAGGTTTGATTTTCCCTCTGCCATTGGCGAATAATCAATGAGGTTATACGTTGTCATTCTGCAAACATCTTTTAGCCCAACAACTTTTTCAAGTAATGGTTTCAGTTTGCAATGAGAATCAGTATTTCATTAAGAACTGAGAAACAGTAATTTTCTAATTCTATTATTCCTTCCCCTTTCATTAGCTGGTGTTATCCTGTAAAGGTGGGTTTTTGTCTCATCATGAGAATCACCTAGAACTCCTTCTAAAAAGTCAAAGTAAATGCTGGACTCTTTACCTTTAATTCCCATTTTTCAAAGTAAGGAGTTGGTGTAATGGTTGTCTTCAGTTGAAGCAAATTAGCTCTCTATCTCTCTTTCCCCATGAATTCATGCCTTCTTATTTTTATATTTTTACAATCAAGTCATTATTATTTTTGATGCTCTATTATTTGGCCCGTGAGAGCATCCTCCAGCTGGATGCCTTAACACTTTTTTTTTATTCTTTGATTTAAAATGTTCTTCTGGGATCTCTTTCCACAGCTGAGACCAAACAGCAGCCTCCCCTCTCTCCATGTCCCAGCAGCACCTCTGTCTGAAGAGACCTTCTACTTCCTTCTAGATTTTGTCATTCAATAACTTGAAAGCGCTAGATTGCTTCTCCCATCCCCGCCAAACTTTGCTGAGCTCATTAATTGGCATTGAGAAGAACCCCTGCAAATTCAAACAAGATCATAAAGGAGGCCTAGCTCCCCTTGAAATGTCTTCACCATTTCTCTTACCTCGCATAGTAGTCATTGGGTGGAACGGCTTCTTGAAAGAATTGGAACTGGTATAAATAAAGTCCAATCAAGTGCCCCGCAGTGAAAATAGCCAGCAGAACACAGAGACAGCTGAACAGCAACGGATCGAACGTGCGGCACCAGGACCACCAGGTGCACAGACCCAAAAATACAAAGAAGTACACAGATGAGGTCAAAGATGGCAACATCATACCTAAGGAAGAAGAGATACGGTCATGACAAATTGCACAGAACCAGAAAATCATTTACCACTCAGGAAATGTAACTCTTGGAGATTATGGACATTTCCTTCATATGCTTTCAGGGATGGATCAAATTATTAAAGTATGAATCACATTTTATTTATTAAATCAGAACTTATGCTATTTTTGTTGTGAAAAAATGTCATACATAAAGTGATATTTGTAAATATAAAGAAACACAATATGATGAAGAAATTCTTCCCACGGTGTTTGAGCAGAGTAAATATCTACTTTTCATACAATAGAATTTAGCATATTTGCTTGCCTGTTTCCATCTTTCTACTTCCCCCCCAACTTTTCAGGAGTACTTGTGTGTCCATTCCAACTTTCCCTGATATCATTTTTTATAATGACTTACTTTTTTTTTGGTTAAGTAGGATTCATAACAATATTACATCTGTGGCAAAGTCTCACTAAAACTTTGCCCTACCCCACAAAATTTGATTTGCACTATTACCACAAGGGGGCACGTAAAGTGAGGTAATTCTTTGACAGGCATTTAAAAACCTTGGCGGGGGGCATTTTGAAATGACCCTTTGTTAAAATATTGGGATATATTTCTCGAGAAATTCTATTCACTTTCCCACTTTTTAATTTCCCTCTGAAAAAACAGTCACATTGTTTCATCTCGTGCACTTTCCACGAAGAGGTATGGCCTAAACTTCCCAGTGGCTCTGGGGCAGCGCCAACAGTGGGATGGAAGGAGGGAGAAGATGGAGATAACATTATTATGGAACAAGCGGTCGGCAGCCAAGATTTAAAGGAAGTGAGTGTCTGTGCTGCAAGATTACAATCTGAGGAAGAAAAATAGTATATCCTGGAGAGTTAAATTAAGATTACTAACGACCCAATGTAAACAGACATGCTTTCAGAAGGCACACATGTGGCTCCGGAGAGGGACACCAACATTCTCATCAGAGCCCATTGCCCTTCCTGGGCTCTGGGGGAGAAGAGTGGTTTTTCGGATCTACACATAAAACATGACATCACTTAAGACATAGGAAAAGATGGCTTTACGGAGGTTGACAGAAACCAACTAAAAACCCAAACGCTACAACTGAACAGGAAAAATGATTTCTGTTGTGTGTGCTGTGTACACGTGGCCAGTTTTCCAGCAGCTACGGTTATGAGTTTGGTGTCACAGACCAGAATGGTTTCTTCCTGTATTTTCTCCTCAGCCATGTCTTCCAGTATTCGCCAAAGTGCTACCTGCGCTCCATCCGGAGCCGGAAACGCTCACCTGACGAACCGAGTAAAATCGTCACCACGACCTTTCCCGCGGTGGTGATCATGTTGCCGATAAACTCCTTAAGCTTGGAGGCCACAGAGGCGAGTCTGCGGAACATTTTTAATTTTGTGCTCTCTTCCACCTCGCCTTCAACACCGTCCCCTTCATCTAAATCCTCTTCGTAGATCAGTGCCTCTTCTGGATCTATTTTTTCTCCTCCAGCCTAAATAACGGAGAAACACAAAACACTGCAGTCCAGAACTCTGTCTCCCCACCCAGCAGATTATATGGTTTGTAATTTATGGGTCAGTCAGTGAGGTGAACTTCACAAACCAACAGAAAACTGCAGACAACCACTTATGTCCCCCCAGGTCTCTGACAGTGCTTGTGAAAGCCCAAGTCACTTGGATCTTTCCTAAAGAAGTAAACAGGAAACATCACCAATCAAAGGACCCTGAACAGCGTGTTGTCTGAGCCACATGAACTCATTTTTTATACACAGAAGAAGAAACTGAAACATCTATCAAAATCTTAACTTTCATCAATCTGGGTTCGGTTCCTCACATTTATGGTCTGCCACCAAGGTGATAGGTAGTTTGATGAGAGTATTTTTGGCTTGAACCAAAATGGTGGTTCAATCAGTGCTTATGAAATCCCTTTTCTTTCTGAAGTAAATTCTGTCCATTATTTTAGTGTTTCCTGGCCATGGGAGGGTGAGTGGTTTTGGGTTACTTGACTAGATATACAGTTACTTCCTATTTTATCCTTTTAGAGAATGATATACAGATTCAATCCTGAATGCTTCAGCCCATCAGTACTATCATCAGAGATTTGGGGAAGAAACACATGGGCAGAATATATACATATTTCTATGCATTACTTTATTTATTTATTTTTAAAGATTTTATTTATTTGACAGAGAGAGACACAGCGAGAGAGGGAACACAAGCAGG